TTTTTTCACAGCTTCGACATCTTAATCTTACTCCTAAAATCCTCAACTCGACCAATTAGACGACTGCAGCCTCCAAGCAGTTGTGTAACGAAAAAATACCAATATGCTATTCCTAGAAGGTTTACCTCATCACCATGGTGACAAGTCAAGCAGAAGAACAGCCTTTAAAGAATGTGTGTGTGTGTGTGTGTGTGTGTGTGTGTGTGTGTGTGTGTGTAGGGGTTTAAAGATAGAAGTGAAGGATACAGTGCAGCGCTTCCTCGTGCTGGAGCACCGCGGCACGCTGTCTCGCTGGCCTTTCCACATCCACTTGCTGGTTCTCTCCCACGTGCACGCCGGCCTATAAATAGCGCAGGTTTAATGCGCGATTTTGTCCCAGCAGGCTTTTTATGACTGAACGGGCCAGTAGGTTCTCACTGTTGTTGCTAACGCAGAGATTAACCACAAATGGGAGTCTCCACACTCCATTTCTCCTCACGCTCCATTCGCCCAACGCCGCCGTTATTATCGTCATGCTGCGATCTCCGTTTTTACTCAGGGGACTCTCGGACGAGTGTATTTTAAGAGGTTTCCGAAGGTCAAAGGTCAGGATTTTGTGTTGGCATCAGCACAAACGGTAGGCGTAGAAGTCATTTAAAAGCCATGTTGTTTTCCCTCCTTCATCGGCTCCTCGGATTCTCACTCCCTCCGTTTATATAAAACGCCTTAACCTGTCGGCCATTTGCCCTGAAGTCTGCCCCTTCAATAGCTTCAGAGGTGCCTTCTACGTTAATGACGTCCCCATTTGCTTAATCTGCCCGTTCTGACGCTCCATTTAAGCCATAATAGATTCGTTCAGAGACGCAGTGAGGGATGTGTTCGTATTGTGTTTCGCCGTTATTGTACATTAAAACTGGCGAGAAGAAGCCTCGTCTTCCCGCTGTTTGTCGCCCCTTTTGGCAAACACAACACGTTTGTGTCTTCTCTGCCTCCCGTGGACGGATGACTGAGCACTGGTGGTGTTTTTCAGCAAAGAAAAAACACCCTGATTTATATTCACACCTCACACTCGTGGTTTGCAAACCCTCCTTTTTGTTCAGGGCCACTCGCGAGGGGGGGGAGCTCATGAAATCTGAGGTGGTATAGTTTATAGTTTTATAGATTCTAACGGGAAAGAAAGGTGGCGGACTCACTCCTCCCTCCCGGGAACCGGGAGGCGCCAACGGAGGACGGGAGCAGCGCTTCACCTGCGCGTCTCATTTCAGCCGGCTTCAGTGGTCTAAATGACACATGTCAAAGTGTGTGTTTTGCAAAGTAAAACTGCTCACTGACTCGTCCCACCTTCGCCTCCCGGGGGGGGGGGGGGGGGTTATGTCAGTTTCGGGATGGTTGCTCTGAAACGTTTGCAGCTCGTTCTCTTTAGATTAAGACAGCAGCTGTAACATTGAGTCACGGCGAGACAAAGCATCCGGTCCTTCGTCTTTATGGCGGCGACACAACTGAGCGAACACACCCAACTGGTTTCGTGGTCATCTGCTGCTGTGAATTAGCTATGGTCAGACATCCTATCACATGACCAGTGTGTGTGTGTGTGTGAGTTCATGTGTCACTTCTGTGTGTGTGTGTGTGTGTGTGTGTGTGTGTGTGTGGGATGCCCAAGGATGTTTTTATTGATTGACAGCTGGGACGGAGAGAGTGACCGAGGAGAGAGAGAGAGAGAGAAGCTGTGCGGAAACGAAAGAAATCAATCAGCCTGTTCGTCTGAGTTTATAAGGGTGAAGAGGGAGCGAGAGGGGGGGGGGGTGGGTAGGGAGGGAAGGAAGAAGGAGGCAGTAGAGGAGACATGGTAAGGAGAGGACGTAGGAGTAGAAGACGATGCAGAAGGAATGAAGACGAAGAGATGAGATAATGAAGGGAGGAGGGACAAAGAGAAAGAGAGATAGGGGGAGAAAAAGAGAAAAGATACAATAGCCAACAAAGGTGTGTGGGGGGGGGGGGGGGTGCAGAAAGTTAAGGAGAGTGAGGAACAAGATGGAAGAATGAAAGAGGGGATGGAAAGAAAGCGAGTGAGGAAGAAACAGTGAAACTGAAGAACGAGGATAGAAGATGGAAGGAGAGGAGAAGAAAGAGGAGAGAAGGTGGAAGGAGAGGAGAAGAACGAGGAGAGAAGGTGGAAGGAGAGGAGAAGAACGAGGAGAGAAGGTGGAAGGAGAGGAGAAGAACGAGGAGAGAAGGTGGAAGGAGAGGAGAAGAAAGAGGAGAGAAGGTGGAAGGGAGAGGAGAAGAAAGAGGAGAGAAGGTGGAAGGAGAGGAGAAGAACGAGGATAGAGGATGGAAGGAGAGGAGAAGAAAGAGTAGAGAAGGTGACGCGTGACGACGGAGAAAAGGAAGCTGAGCGGAATAACGAGGGTGAGGGTTCAAGGAGGGAAGGAGAGGAGGGGGGAGGGAAGGAAGGACGCGCTGGGGGAGCGAGGGATGCGGCGGGATGAGTCACGTGCACGTGAGAGGGATGTGAGCTGCATGCTAACACACACACACACACACACAGACACACACACACACACTATCTCTAGGTGAAAACGCACACCTGCAGCAGCAGCCGGGGGGGGCAATGGGAGGGTCGTATAGAGGACATCCTCCCGTCTCTCGTGTCCTCCCTCCTTCCCTTCTTTCTGCGCACACACACACACACACACACACACACACACACACACACACACACACACACACACACACATCCTCGTCCATATCGCTCTTTCATTTTTGACACACATCTCTCTCCCTTTTTCTCTCCCTTACTCACTCAATCGCCCCCCTCCCCCCCTGCTGTTTTACCTAATTTTCTCCCACCCTCCTACATGCTATGCTCACCTTAACGCTCCTCCCCCTCCATTCTCCCTTTCTCTCTCTCTCTCTCTCCCCCGCCGTGCTGATCGGCTCTCGTCGGCTCGCCGTGTGATTCCGCTCTGTGATTCATTGAAACCATCAATGCTACGTTGGGTTCCTTGTCCCAGACAAACGCTCCTCGCGCGGGCCGAACGGGCGCTGGAGCGAGGTCGCAGGTCAACGCGCCGCGATGCTGAGGAGACACGCTCTTTGCGGCGTTATTTGCACTGTGTGAATGTTTGCAGAGAGAAACGAGATTCACTGTTGAATGAAGAACTGTAGCTGAACGTTTCCTCCCTTCAGTCAGTCGGCGGGATGAGATTAGCTCGCAGGAAACCTGATAGGGAATGAAACCCGTCGGTTTGAGAGGTGGTGGCAGTAACTGGTCGGCCCTGTCTGAGAGAGATGAATGGTGTGTGTGTGTGTGTGTGTGTGTGTGTGTGTGTGTGTGTGTGTGTGTGTGTGTGTGTGTGTGTGTGTGTGTGTGTGTGTGTGTGTGTGTGTGTGTGTGTGTGTGAGAATAAGTGAACGAGAGACAGAAAAGCCGGCAACGGCCACGCTTCATAATCACCCGAACAATAGGACGTATCATGTCTCGCACACATGTTTGTTCACTTAATCATCAGTTCGACTGCATTTTTTTTCCCCTCCTCTTACCGTCATTTTCCTCCTCCCCCAAAATCTTTACCTCCCCCAAGAGAGAACAGCCGCTCGCTTCCCTTCGCACTGAGTCACGTAGACACACTTCCTGCTCTTTATGTGCGCTCTTCTCTCTCGGCCTCGTGTTGTGACTGAAGGACACGTGGCCGCTAACGTCGCCCTGCAGCTTTATTTTTACTCTTACTGGGGCTCCTACTGGGGCTCCTACTGGGGCTCTTACTGGGGCTCCTACTGGGGCTCTTACTGGGGATCCTACTGGGGCTCCTACTGGGGCTCCTACTGGGGCTCCTACTGGGGCTCCTACTGGGGCTCTTACTGGGGCTCTTACTGGGGCTCCAGCTGGGGCTCCTACTGGGGCTCCAGCTGGGGCTCCTACTGGGGCTCCAGCTGGGGCTCTTACTGGGGCTCCTACTGGGGCTCCTACTGGGGTTCTTACTGGGGCTCTTACTGGGGCTCTTACTGGGGTAGATTTGTTTGTTTTGGGGGTTCTTTAGGAGGTTCTCTAAGGGGTTATAAAGTTCCTGTTAAGTCTTTTAGGGGTGACAGGTGTTCCGTACTTGTTTTCGAGGTTCTTGAGGGGTTTTAAAGTGTCTCTCTCAGGGGTTGTGTTTCCTTTTGGTGCCCCTGTGAGTCTTTTAGGGGTTGCATCCTTGTTTTAGGCATTCTGGGTGGGGTTTAATGAGGGTTATTTAATAGTTTCTGGCAGTACAACCCCCCCCCTCCCTTTCACTTGTGTACATGTTTCTCTATTCATGTCTTTTCATGTCGACAAGAAGAATTCCTTGAATGTGCAACATACTTGGCTATAAATGGTTGTGATTCACATTATATGTGTACACAGAGAATTGCTTTTAAGAAACGTTACGCGCAGTTTGACCAAAGGGTCCAAAGGTTAAACACACCAAACCGGTTAAGAGACCCTGAACCGGCGAAGGGGGAACCGATCGACCCGAAGCCCCCTCGGGTCGATCGGCTGCGCTTCGTTGTCAGTCGCAGGGAGACACTTCCAGGTGGGTGTGACACGTTGTCTGGAGGCGTGAGTCCAAAGTGCCTCGCAGTACTTCGGCTGCGTGCATATTTTAAGAAAGAGTGTCCCCAAGGGAACTAAGCCCCTAATTTTAAACAATGGCCGTGCTGCTGAGAGCGACCAACCTCACAGGAAACACCGGCCTCTCGCAGAGGGAACTTATTTCCCATGTTTGGTAGCTGGTGTTTCACAGAGAACATACATTCCTTTGTGTGATCGCACGAGAGAGCAACCGAGTGACGCATGTTTGTTTCTCGCCGAGGATCGTTCCAGCTGTGATCGGCACCTCTGTTTTTTTCGGGGGGGTGGTGGGGGTTGTGTTTTACACGGGGTCTCATGCGCTGTTGTTGCGTGTCAAAAGGAAGACGGCCCGCCTGGGAGTTCCTTTTCGCTTTAATGTCCATGTTTGAGTAACGTGACCTTTCCGGCTCTCTTTTTCCGTCCTCAGTATGGGGAGGAGGAGGTGTGTTCGGACCGCTTGGACACTGACTTCCCGGACATCGACCTCTCTCAGCTGGACACCAGCGACTTCGACAGCGTCAACTGTCTCAGCGAGCTCCAGTGGTGCAACGACCAGCCGGCGGACGCGTCGCCGGCCCGCTACTGCACAGCCGACGAGCTCCTCGAGGTGAGGCTCCTTCCCCCAGACGAGCAGATCCGACGTATGAGCCCACTCTTTTTCTCGGAAAGCTCTCTTCGTGGATCATTGGTTGACGTTTTGTGCAGGGATGCGCAACCAGATTGAGTCGTAGACGACTTGTAACACAACAAACACATGACAAACAAAACGCAAACAAATACTCACATTTGGCTGATTGTTATCGGACTCGCTGCTTCTTTCACTTTATGTCCATTTTATATTTTTTCCTTTACCTTTTGCAATCGTTCATAACTCTTTATTTTGAAAAAGGTCTCCTCCCCCTCCTCTCCATTCCTCGGCATACTATATATTTATCAATACCGTATTGATCAGACTAATTGATCAGCAGAGCCGACGGACTTGTCACAAGCACGTATAATAAATGGAGTGATAAGCGGACGGATGAAGCCCCCCGTCTCCCCCGTCCCCCCCCACCCGCCTCCCTGCGTCTCCACTTATTCACAGCAGCGTATCGGTATCTAATCTCAGGCGGGATTGATCGGCGCTCGAGTGCGGAAGAGCTTCGTTTGACCTTGGAGAGCGCGGAGAGGATTCAGTTACGCGTGTTGTATGTAACTTATATGACAATAACAATCGTGTCATCTGCAACACATATCATCATGTGTTGTGTTTCGTGGGGATCTTCTCACTCGCTGAGGGATTTAACCGCTATCCAGGAAATGTAACTCGTATCGCTCTAATCTGATTAATGCAATCAGGTAACATTCAGTTCTGTTATTGTCCTGAAAAGCATAATTGTCCCGCTTACGCCGCTCGTGACTCGTCACATGAAGGAGAGGCCACGAGGGCCGCGGGACGGAGAATAAACGCAGTAATAAACGCTTTGGCAGCCGGGAGATGGAGCTGGATGATAAAAGAGCGACAGGCAGATGAATGGAGCTCGATGGCTTCCCGGGGGGGGGGGGGGGGGGGCGGGGTATTCCCTCGCCACCAGAATTCCCCTCTCAAGGAGAACGCGTTCACGGGAAAACGGGACGGGAAGGAAAGACCTCTCCTACTTT